GTCCCAGACTCCCTGCCCATGGTGTTGGCCAAGCAGAACGCGGACACCATGAACAAGGTGAGTCCTGTTTTGATTAGGTGGCACATCAGCAGCCTGTGCCCAAACCCCAGAGACAGGACTAGAACCAAGATTTGCAGATTCCAGCACAGCGAGGCTTTACAAGTGTAAGTTGAATTCTTGGTAATCAGCAGGTAACATATTTTCAGCAAGTGGTAATGTAATAATATCTTCCAAGTTACTATGCTAATTCCCAATTATCAGTTGGGAAGCTTTCCAAATACTATGCTGTATGTCTAATAATGTGTTACCTAACTTCCATCTAATTTTAATGTAGCAAGTTGTCTGATAAATACAATAATTTACCAAATTTACCTCATAATCTAGAAGTTAATAGATTACCTGTTTTAGGGCACTCTTTGAAATACCCGTATTTTAAACAATTCAGCATAGTACTTAAAATATAAGCTTAGGCCCTGATCTCAATCCTATTTATGTCAATAAGCTTATTTTCTCTTTCAAACAGGCCTTGTTCTTAGAGTTTATATCTCTGTGTGTCTGATTAGCTTTCTGTGCCTTTTTTCTAAACACCTTTCTCACAGAATCCTTTCTAGGTTGTTAATTTTTAACCTGGAATTTACATATCTAGAGGGGTGAATTTAGAATCTCGTGGCTGCATAAGAAATAAGTATTTTATAGACTTTGGGTACAGATCTGTAATTCTCCTGGTGTTTTAGGAGATCTCTTAGTAGTGGCTGGTTTTTTTTCCCCTTTAACACATATTATTTCTCCTGCAGCGTTTGTACACTGAGGCCTGGGATAAAGACAAGACACAAATCCACATAATGCCTGACACTCCTGAAATCACACTGGCAAGAGAGAACAAGAAAAACTACAGCCAGGTGAGTGTGTGAGCTCTGCAAATGCAACTGCTCTGTGCCATGGCTGCACCAGGAATGTTCTGGTGAACCTTATGTAGCTGACACCCTCACTTTCCATAAGTAACTCCCATATTTATCCTCGAAAACGTGACTGTGAAATCATGGTTTGCATATTTGTAGTAGTGCATGCATAGACCAGTGAGCATTACTGAGAATAAATTCCATGGGAAACTAGTTTGAACTTTTGGGAGTCATTTCTGCCAGTGTTCGTATCATTGGGAAAGCACAAAATTAATTCCAACACTGGAAATACCAAAAAGATAATTTCAATCCTGAAAAGCTGTGATCCCAGTGTTCAGGGTTAGTTTAGGCAAAAATCCCTCACATTACTAAAAGGTGGCTTTAAAAAGTAGGTTTTACTCCCCTTGAATAGAATAATAGTTTAGCCCTCAAACTGTAGGCAGTGTTATGTTATTTAAAGTAGTAACAGAAAAAGTCTTAAAAAAATGTATTTAGCAAAATATTCCTTTGACATGAGTTGGTGTCAACTATTGATATGGAGCTCTGAGTTAAATAAAGCTGAGTTAGAATAAATCTTAACATAATTTTTAAATCTGCTTCCAAACAGTTTGTTTTGCATAGAATATAATATGTGGGACTTATATGAATCCCGTTGTTTAATTCCTTCCCTAGAAACAATACAGACAGGCCATGGAAGATTCAAAGAAGAAAGGCTACGATTTGAGAATCGATGCCATCCCCATTCAAGCAGCCAAGGCATCCAGGCAAATTGCCAGTGATGTAAGAATCCACTTTTTTCTTCCTTTGTATGTTGACATCTCAGCTCTGCAACCTGGAAGTTGTCAGAGGTGAGCTGGAAATATAACATATTGTTTTGTATTTCAGTACAAGTACAAGGAAGGGTATCGGAAGCAGCTGGGCCACCACATCGGGGCCCGCAACATCGAGGACGACCCCAAGATGGTGTGGTCAATGCACGTGGCCAAGATCCAGAGTGACAGGGAGTACAAGAAAGCCTTTGAGAAGACCAAGACACACTTCAGCAGCCCCGTGGACATGCTGGGGATCGTGTTGGCCAAGAAGTGCCAGGGGTTGGTGAGCGACATCGACTACCGGCACTACCTGCACCAGTGGATCTGCCTGCCCGACCAGAACGACGTGATCCACGCCAGGGAAGCCTATGACCTGCAGAGTGATGT